TGCTTAACCACTGTGCCACCAGAGCTTCTCAGCCACAGTAGAAACTTGAATTTATTTATCCATTTCCTTTTTATAACAAGTGACCTCGATGGGTAAGTCTAGATGGGAATCAAGAGAATGAGCACATTTCCTACATGACCTAGAAACAGCCATTTTTGGTATTTAGTGCAGTTTGTAGGAAAAGAGCCAGGGTTCTAACTGGTCTCCACTAGGGTAGTCTTTACACTTAAGTACCTGAGGCAAAATGCCCCACCCCAAAGTACCGTATCACTGCTCCTCTGTCAAGTTCTTGGGGCATATTCTTTTAGAAGGAAAAATGTTCTCCCAACAAGTTGGAATAATACCTGCTCCTTCCCAAGGGTCCCCGACATAAGACTATGTCACTATAAAGGCATACAGTGTGGCAACTTTTTGAAAAGACTTCTGGTAATCAGATTTTACTTGTGGTCACTTCTTCCTGTAGTAATTCTTCAAAATGAGGTTTAATCAGGCAGCATAGTTAAGCGTTGGATACTAGTGGAAAGGCTGGGAGTTCAGAACCCCCCAGAGGCACCTCAGAAGACCGGCACGGGCAATCTGCTGCTTGAAAGTTCACAGCCTTGAAATCGCTATGGAGGCCTACTCTGCACAACAGTCGGGACTGAAAGGCAACTGAACAACAAGACTTAAGGGACAGTGTTATTAGTGGTGTGACTGGAAGATTAGAGGGCTTTTTTTCCTTAGCCTTGGAATGAGCGGCAACAGTGGAAAAGATTCGCACACCAAGAGGGGACAGCCTGCTGAAGGAAATAGGGACTTTGGAGCACAATGTGTATTCAAATTCCAGCTCTGCCACTAACTCTGTGACCTTGGGAATTTGGTATCTGATCCAGTGGTAGGTGTTTTATACAGATTTTGGCTTTTAAGTACACAGGCAGTTTGAGAGACAATTTTGGTTTTTGTGTAACAGATAAACCTGAAAATAAAACGCTGTCAAGCAATAGCTGCTGTGTGGTGATTCTGATTCTTAGTTCAGCTGTGTGGGTCCCAGGCATGCCCTTTCGAAACTTCAGCCACATGTCCAGTCCTGCAGCATCAGTAACTGACTAGGTATTTAAAACACAGTAAAATGCACCAGCTGCACCCAAGCACAGGAAACAGCTGGACAGGGATGATGTCAACACAAGGCAGCACTGACTCACACACCGAGCACGTGGAAACTGGAGAGCTTTATTGGTTACATATTGTGCTGCAGAGCTAACAGAGGCATGAGCGCCAAAGGATCCATGCAGACAGGCAGCTTCGACTCGACACATGCACCCAAGGAGCCCTGAGTCACTGCTCATAGCTTTGCCCTGGTCTCCAGGGACAGGGTCTGGCCTCCTTGGTCCCAATGCTTGGAGCATAAATGGAGGAAAAGCTGCTGCACCTGGACTCCAAGGGGGCAGGGGAGAGACCAGAGCACCTGCCTGAGCAAGTAGGTGTGGACAGACAGACTGATGCCCAGCAAAGGGGCCAGCAATGCAATAACAGTTTGAGGGCTACCTCTAGCCCTCCCAATCTAAAATACAAAAAAATAGACTTTATTCTCTTAAAAATACATTCCATTCAGTACATGTTCTGAGCTGTGAAGCAGCAGGAAAGTAAGGGCCCCTGTCCTATGATCTCGGTTATGAGGCTTTGAGGAGAACCCTGGTCCCCATCTGGGGTGTTCAAAGGATATTTCCTAAAAGCAGCTCTTCCAAAGCAGTCTTGTCGGGATAACAGAAAAACCACACCAACAAAGGCAGCCAGGAACCCAACCTCTAGGTCCCTATTCCTTTACTGGGAAGTGGCAGCACTTGGCACTGATGCATTAAATATAAAGAACTAAAACTGCCCCAGGACAAGTCCAAGATCAATATAGACACCACACCCCACGGGAGGGGGACGGTTTATGTGCAAGCTTGCCTGCAGCTGAGGTTGGGGTACTTGGCCCCACTGCAAAGCCGTTTCACCCACATGATAGCGGTTTCATCACCACTCAAATAAGCACAGCCACAGCTGCTCTGTCCCCCAGGGCTGAGCGCTCTCTGGTGGTTCCTAGTATCGGTGTGGAGAGGGACAGGAAGCAGAAGGTGGAAGAGGCCAGCCCCCAGCATTGAGTCAACTCCACATCCTCCAGCCCAGCAGCTCTGCAATGCTGGGTTCCCCACCCTCCTCAGGAGCCCTCCCACCACCACACACCTGACACCTGTCGTCATCAAAGTGGGTTTGCTGGCTGAAACAGTGGACATATTTGGCTTGATTAGACAACCATTTATCTACCAGGTCTCTCCTCTATTCAGAGGTTTTCTCCAGGGCCTGTGACGGTGAGACCTGGGTCCACAGTCATACCTTGGTTGCTTTTCAGAAACGTGCCTTCTAACTTTGGAACTTGAAAGCCAGCCTTGCCAGCCAGCCGTTTGAAGCCCAGAAGAACTGAGCCTCTAGCCTTCACGTGCTGTTACACATGCTATTTCCTGCAACGCTGAGAACATTTAAAAATAAAATCTATTTTACAGCGGTTCTAAAAAGTGTGCAGAGTAAGGAAACAAATAAAATATTTATCCTGAAGTAACTGTTACAATCAAACCCTATTGCACTCAGATTTCAAGATGGCAGCCCCAGCGAGAGGGCGCCACAGCTGCCACAGCTGTCCCTCTCCCACAGAGCACTGTGGGTAGTGGCAGATGTTGGTGCTACTAAAATGCAAAAAGATCCAGACTTTGGCACCAGGAGCTACAGCACCAGAATCCAAGGCTCCAAGGCCCAAAGATGAAAATTATTGGCGAGATCTTTTGGGGCATGGCTTGGTGCCCTTCCACTTCCACCACCAGAGAAGAGCCACAGCCTTGGTTTCCTATACCCTCAGTCGACTACCACAGAGGCCGGTCTCACTGGACCCTCAGGGTTGCCAACCGGTGAAGAAGAATGGCAAGGAGGCTGCAACCCAGAGCTTGCTAGTTTCTGGCTAGTGACCCAGGTCAGAAGCAGCAGGAAAAGATCTTGAGAACAGCATCTTAAGTTGAGCATTTGAGGCAGGGACGTGGAGAGGAAAGGCAAGCCACATGCCCATGCCCTTAGATTGGCAAATCTCAAGAAAATGGAAGAATAAGCAAGACATTCCTATCCCTGAAAGGAAGCTGGGTGCGCCTCACGCCTTCTGTGGGACCGCAGAAGCTGATGCAGAGAGAGGCCGAGTGGGTGCTGGGTCCCACGCTGATGGGGACAGAGGTGACTTCTTGCCAGAACTTCAGAGGGAAGCCCAGGAACAGGATGGGGCAGCTTCTGTTATGGAAAGCCCCCAGCCTAAGTGCTGAGACATCCAGTGTGGCACTGGGCAAGAGTGTCACAGGGCCTCAGAGATCATCTAAACTAACCCTTCATTTCACAGACTGGGAAACTGAGGCCCAGGGAACTTCTCTGAGCTCATCCCCATGAGTTTAAAACATGGGGCAAGTGGAAAAAATAAGGCTCAGAAAAACAACAGAAGTGGGGAGGCCCCACTTTCCAAAAGTGAGAATTAGCACACGTGGGATAGTGGAAAACAGGGATCTCAGAATGCCCTTAGACCATTCATTACAAAGATCTCATTTCATAGATGGGGAAACTGAGGTCCCAAAAGGACACTGACTTGCCCAAGGTCACACAAGAAAGTACCAAAGCCACAAAGAAAACCCAGGTCTCCCGACTCCTAGCCTAATACTCTTTTCTTCCACTATGGAGGCAACGGCACCTGCTTCTTAAAGGCGGCCTTTGAAGGGGGTTCCTTCTTTGAAACAATGCTACAGAAAAAGCAGCTAAGAATACATGGTTCTTTTCAACTTCCCCTGTGACTGGTATAATAAGGAAACAGCATCGAGTTCCCTCAGGTGGCTTCTGCAAAGGCCTGTCCACACTGCCTCGTGTAGACCTGGGGCCCTCGCTGAACGTATCACCCTCCTCCAGCGCAGTTGTCATGCTGAGAGGCGGCTGCAGAAACCACGGCCGCTTCTGTAGGAATGCATCAGCTTGGTAAAGTGCGACACCTCCTCTGGGGGAACGAAGGAGGATGAACAAGGGGGAGTATTCGCATTGTCCGTGGATCTCTTCCTTGTAGAGGGACTAAGGGGAACTGCTTCTTCCTGCTTTTCCCTGCTGGGGGATTCCTGGAAGGCAGCATGCTGGGTGAGGCCCCGCCAGGCTGGCAACATTCCAAAGTGGAAACAATGAATTGGGCCTGACATCTCCAGCCCCAGAGAGAGCAGGCAATGCCAGCAGCATGACTGGTGCCCAAGGAAGGAGACGCACAGGGCTGTGCACGTCTGGGCGCCTTTGGAAGGTGAGCAGGGAGGGTTGGGTGGAGGGAGCAATGACATCATTCCAATGGGAACCTGTTCTGTCCCCAGGCAACAGTGGTCAGCCAGGGGGCCAGGCCAGAGGGGCTTCACTCTGAAGGGTAGTCCCAGGATCCCTCGGAGGCAGCGCGGAACTCCCTGCTGTCAAAGTCTAAGGGGAAGAACTCCAAGGGGAAAAGTACTAGAAGCCCGCAGATGGAGCTGATGGCTGGTACGTAGTGGACACCTGGACCCTTAGGGCAAACGAGTAGTGAACAGGTGGGGAGACTGAGAAATAGAACACTGCCACAGAGGAGGGCTGCCCTGTGATACACAAACCACCCAGGGAGCAGAGAAGAGCTTCTGGCTGTTGCCGTGGGGTGGGGATTCAAGGAGTGCCTCTGTGTTCTCCACCCGGGGCTAGGGTGCCCCATGCTACCGGGGAGCAGGCAAGGACGAGGACTCATGCATCAGGGAAAGGCTGGCCTGGATGGCTTCGTCCAGCTGTAGTCTCTGACCCCCTCTGGCCAGCTGGCAGAAATGGCCTGTGCCAGGGCCTGGCTCTCCACCACAGTTCCCCAGTCTTGCATCTGGCCTGGTTAACTGGCCTTGGGTCCTTCATGGGGCAGGGAGGTGGAAGAGGCGAGAAGCAGGAGCAGAGACAGCAGACCTTCACCAGCTGGCTCAGTTTTCCTCGGTGCAGGGCCTGGGTGGCCGTAACCGGTCTTCGGCCCGTACCCGCCCAGGCTCTGGCAGTCCCTGCTTCCCAGGCAATTCAGACCGTTCCAGGGAGTTGTGCAGTCGCCTGTAGACACTGAGTGTACGGTCTTCACTGTCCTCCTGTGCCAATAAATGACAACCGTGAGCTGTGGAGGTCAGTATGGTAAGGAACAAGACACTTGTGCCCCCATCCTGAAAGCGTATAGCCCAGACAGACTGCAGTATCACTGCCAACAGAAACTGCAAAGATATGCTCACCCCTGAGGGCAGGCCAGGGAGCTCTGGTGGCCTAGTGCCTAAGGCATTTGACTGCTAGCCAGAAGGCTGGCGGTTCAAACCCACCAGACACTCCTTGGAAGGAAGACTGGGCAATCTACTTCCGTAAAGATACTGCCTCGGAAACCCAAGGAGGGGTCGCTATGAGTCGGATCCGACTCAACGGCAGTGCGCTGTGTTGCATTCGTTGAGGACAGGCCAATGTGCAAGCTCTTTGGAAATGAGGCTCACAGCTGAACAGGAGCTCAACAGAGGACAGGGCCTGGGATGAGAGCAGGGGCTGGCTGCCCTCTCTTCCTTGAGCTCTGCCAGCCAGGCAGCAAGCTTCTGGGTGAGAGGCACTTCCTTGGCAGGTGGCAGGGGAGTGTGCTGACAAAGAAACCAGACAGCTCTTTTCCTACTCTTTCCCCAGAAACTACCAAGCAGCTCACACACCCCGTGCCTGCGCCTCACCGTCTGTCTGCTTCAGATGCTCACAGCTTCAGGAGCCTAAACACCAGCTTTCTCCCAGTCTCCTTCTCCTAGAATCCCTTTTTTTTTTTTTTTTT